TTTGAAAGAGGGAGTGACCCTTCATTTAACCATACTTGAATTCCCCTTACCAGAGGTTGCTTTGTGGTAGGTTGGGTTAAGGACATAGTGTTCTTGAAAAGAAGCCGATAACACACAACACACGACAGACGATGGACGACAGATAGATGTCATATAATTGCATAAAGGGGGTCCTACAAAACAACCCTACCTTCTCGAATTCGAGTATTTTCTTCTTCTTTTTTCTTTTTTTTTCCCCCTTTTTTTTGTGGCAGCCATTCCTTTCAAAAAAGGTACGGGTCTGCTCCAATTCGATAGAAAATTCAAACTACGTTAGTTTACACTTACAAACATGAATTCATAGAATATTTATTGCAAGTACTAGTAAGTATTTATTTAACTTACATTTTTACACCATTACACAGCCATTTTTACTCTTCATAGTTTTTTAAAACGCTTACATGTTGAATAACACGTTATATTCTTGCAAGATTAGTCAACAATACGCCATCGATATGGCTTTGTTTACCCTTAAAGTGGTCTAAAGAAAAGAAAAGAACACAAGGCAAATGTACTATAACTAAGGAAATTTAACTTGAATTGCTTCTTACATTTATTTAAAACGATCATTTTTCCGATGTGTGTTTCAAATACTCCGTAGTTTGATATGTTTTTAAATATGCAAAAAAATTGGTTTAGACAAGCATACATTATCAATACTATAAAAACCATTTAAATACAACTATGTCTCCGCTTTCATTTACTCTGCGTAGATTATGTTCACAGTTGGATGTTTACATTCCTGAATGTTTTGAACTCATTATTTTCAATGTAAGGGTCTGCTTTATCAATAAAATATTTTCAATCGAATTACAACATTCAGAATATATATCTGAAACATTGTTTCAGTTCATAAAAAATAAATATAAACAAAATAAACCAGTCCTGCTAAAAACATGTCATGATGCACTGAAAATAACTAGGGCCTCAGTTTTTATAAACCAGTTTAAACTAACAATGTTCAATATCCAAAAAGCTGATGAAGTGGAATGATACTTATATGCAGAAAGAAGATCGAATTAAATAACTAGATTGTTTTGACCCACTTAACACTACAACAAAACATAGCACTGTTTTAAATTTCCGGATTTGGTGACTTTGAAAATTAAAAAGAACGTCCATATTAAAACTTCCTGTCAGCCATTACGGTAATTCATTTTTTATTATATTTCGATAATATTTTAAAAGCAACATAGAAATTCTAGTCATTTTTTTCTAACAAATATATCTTTTGAATCTCTTATTAGAACTAAGACAATGTTGAAGATCTTATTTCAAGTCCATATACCTACATTTGTATGATGATGCATTTTATAAAACTGCTGTTGTTAGATTAAATACATGTATCTGTGTTTGTCTGAAATTAATGATTGCTGTTTTAATAGTCGTATTTCTTATTTTTTGGAACCAACTTATTTTATTAAAAAGGCTTAGATCTCCTTTCAAACTGTATTTCTTTCTAGTTTGTAGAGGGAGATTTTAGCTCTTGGGTATCATGTAAGGAAGTTAAATTAAAAGAATTGATTCCAACATTTTACATTAGGATCGATAACAAAATAATGAAAATCAAGTGCTAGGATAAAGATTCTTATTTGTCTGAAAATGTTTGGCCACAAAATTAGCAGTAAATTGGATTATTTACGTCTGAAAAGGTTGTTGATTTCTTGTGAGACAGTTTCAATTTATGATATGGAAATAGAGGTTTATTGCAATAAAATATGTTGATAACGAAGGGTAATGAAGGTTAAAAGTCCACTGAAATAATGCCAATTTGGAACGGAGCAAACACTGACCTCCAATAATATCAGAGGTGTGATCAGGTGCCTTTGGGGAGTAAGCATTCCTTGTCGACCGGTTACACCCGCCCTATGCTCCTTGTCGTGATAGGGCAAACGGAAAATCCGTAGACAATTTAGTGTGAAAATAATGACCTATCAATTTGTATAAAAACGATAGTCAACATTCGATTTAGTAATAGATTGTATTTGTTAACAACATCATCGTATTGACCATAGAATTTGCGAAATATTGGCTTTAAACGGATTGTTGATATTCTTGTATCATCAACTTATTTGTCAATAACTTGATTTGTTTCGTGCCTCGAGCGCATATAAAAATACAAAAAAAGAAGAAACTTTATTCTGCTTAATTTAATTCATTTTACGTTTATAAGAATACTTTAATTTGGTTTTTCCCTGATGTCTAAAAAAATTATAGCATCTGAAAATGTTATTGGCCAGTAGATTAATTTTTTTTTTTAAAAGAAATGTGGACTTTTATCTATGTGGTATCAAGAAGACGTTGTTAATGTAAATTGGATAGCTGCTAAAGTAAATCAGACTTTGATAGACCAGTTATGGGATTTATTGGTTGTTGACTTTTCATCATGATTACTGTCGTTACTTTCACATTTCAGAAATGGTCAACTAATGTTAATTGTTCTTCTAAAGGCCAGGTTTATGGAATCTTTGAAATTGATTTAAAATAAAAGTACATTCATATTTTACTTTCAAAATAAAGGAAGTTCTGATGAAATTTCCCACATGAAATTTTCATTTTCATGCAGAAACAAAAAGATGTTGCTGTATACTCCACACAATTAAAGAATAAGTTTACTTTGTAACACCGGAAAATAGGAAATGAATTTCACTACATTTAAGAAAAGGCAGCTTTTCAGAATCAAGAGAAAAAAATGACTGGACATTAGATACTGCAGTAGAACAAATGTTGTAAAGTTCTTTAACCTTAGGCAATATATAAAATTTATGTAAAATCTTTGAGACATTTTCGCTCATTTATTTCAAATATTGTGTAGGCTGCCTGTTCTCCTTAATTGTTCTCCTGATGTTTTTACATTAATAGATTGAAGAGATACTGTTAACACTATATTATTTATTATTTTTTAAGTCCGTCCTTCTTCCTTTCCCTTAAATAGATACAGTTGTGATATAATTATTTTTGATAATATCATATACATATGTGTACCTAAATAGATGTGAGATGTTTCTATGCCTTATGTTCCTCATGTACACGTACCATTATGTACGGTTCGAGAAAATTAACTGAACTTGAAACATTCTACATATTTTTTTTTAAATTTCATCGATGAAGTTATGGAGAACCTATACAAACATTTTTTTTATTGCAAGTAAATATTGTTGTAAGATCTGTAAAAATAAATATAAACAAAAAATGTTTTGTTTCCTCTTGTAATATGAAGATTGATTTGATTTTTTCCCCGTAAAAAATTCAAGTGCTTATTTTCTTTATTCGGAAAGTAAGTTATAAACAAATAAGTCAATTCTGGCTAAAGCCCACCTTTTGAATGGATAGAAAAAAAATATTCGTACAGTATTACGTCTGGGTCACAATGACTTTCGTCAAACACACATTAAATTTCGTGATGTTAAATAGTTTAAATTTGACCAACTTGAAAGCATTATAGAATCAAAAATTATCTTAATCTTAACATTTAATGATAGAAAATAAATTTTTAAAGAATACAATACAAAAGGTGAGTATTACGAACAGTGATCTATCTAAAAAAAAATCTATAAACAATACAAATCTGTGCAGAGGGTATCAAACACGCAACATCGGAATTTCCAGAGTTGGCTCAGTAGCCCAGGAGGTGCAAGCACTCCCACCAACCGGCAAAACCCATCGCTAGTTCCAGGCAGACGGAACATTCAGCAGCCAAATTCAGTATAAAACAATTGGTGGGAAGCACATCAATCAAAACACCTAACATAGGTTATACTTGCTAACAAGGCCACTAAAATTAGGTTATGGAGTGTAATATATGAAGCAGCTTTTAAATTCATTGTTTGAATGTGTGTCAAGAATAAGATATTACAAATTGAATTTAAAAAAAAAAAAGAAAAAAAAACGGGTATACGTAAATATCCTTTTTAAAGAGCTCTTCATTCACCAGACTCAAATACTAATTCCTAATAATGTTTTCTGTTAAAATAGGCTTACAATTAAGTCAGTCACCACCACTTTATATTCTCATCTTTAAATTTAAAAAGCTGCCTAATCGGAACAAGCATATCTAAAACAGATGACAACTATTCAATAAACTAGGAACTTCTTGAAGATTTTAAAGTTATTAAACTCAAACTTTCACATGGTCCACTTATGGACTTTGAAGATTACATGTCTTTGAAAAAAAAATAGCACCATGGTGTTACAATAGATACCTTAATATACAAGCATTCCCACGTAGTACAATTCATATTTCTTTATATCGTGGCCCTATTCCTAGCTGCAGGGACCCACAATAGTGCTCAAGCTCTAATATACAGTTCACCCCAAATATATTAAAAATTAAGTAAAGGAAACTAGCCATGTAAAGACAATCTTTTTTAATCCCAATCCCAAAGTGAAAAAAGTAAATAGAAAAGAATAAATTTCATTATACACAATTAATTTTCAATCTATAAAAACAAATTATTATCAGCCGAGTGGACAGATAACTCAATGTATACGTAATTACTTCAGAATAAGCAATATTTCAATATAATCGATTTTAATTTAACCGATATTTCATTGCAAAGATAATGAAAACTGAGACTGGAGCTTGTGTTTTATTTCAAAATGAGCAATTTTTCAAGATTTAATGATTTCAATGTAAGTGGAATAAGCTGAATTTTTTTTATAAAAATGAACAAGTTCCACCTGACTAGTTATCTTGACCTCAAATATTATGACATGCATTTCTAAAGTAACTAAAGTTGAAAAATATTCGATTTTATGCTGCAGTCAACATTAAGGGGCTCCATCTATTTGCTTATTCTATGATAGCTAAAGTGCGCATTGCGGTCCAATAATATATTGTTACATCTATACATGAGTTTTAACCTATATACTCTTTGATTGTTTCATTGAAAACTGTTTTTCCACATTGTATGACTTTTTTTCTTGTAGATAATTTAAAAATTCCGTACTAAATTCATATCATGGCTACAGCAAACAGTCTATACAGTTCAACAGAAGACACTACAAATGCTAACAGGGCTTGTCGACTTTTACTTGGACCCTGTACAGATCAACTGAGAGATGTTCTTCGCAAAAAAGTTCCCCCATCTATGTTTCCCATTAAAATTATGAAACAAAAGCATAATCTACCCAGATTAACTCCCCAACAAAGAGACTTGATTTTGCCTCAAAGTGGGTCCTACACTGGAAATTATGACGACTTTGATATTTCACTGCTGTACATTATTCTACGACACATTTGTAACATTACACCTCATGAAAATGGTTGGGGTAATGAACCAGATTTAAATGATTCATGCTTAGCTGCAAATATCGAAAGGATACGAATAGCCCGAAACCGCATCATCCATAGAGCAAGACCTGCCCTGACAAACAGCGAATTTAACGATAGCTGGACGTATGTTCAAGTTGCTATTGTAGCAATCGATAGATATCTCTCTAATGGAAATCACTATGAGAGGGAAGTAGATATTTTGAGACACACAACAATGGATCCCGTCCAAGACAAGCATTACAGAGATCAACTGGCCAAACAATATGCTGATGATCAAAATACTAAAGAACGCATTTTTGCACTGGAGGGTACTTTTTTTTCGTTTATAATGAAAAAAAAATACTACTTACAATACAGTAAAAATGATTTATGTGGTTAAAATTGCAAAAAATATTTATTATTTTAAAAATGAACATGTAGATCTAATACTTTTGTGAATAACTGAGAAAACAAGATGTGTTTGTGAAACACTGATGCCCCTATATGGCAGCATATGGCAAAGGTTTAAGATTCTCAAATGCAAATCAAACTTCAAGGTCAAAAGAACATGTTGTTACCCAAAGAAAGGACTTTGGTCAATGGATACCTGTTAAATATGAAAGCCAAAGCACCAACCATTCAAAATTTATGGTAAAGGTTAATGATTTTTGAACGTGGGTCAAACTCCAAGGTCAAGGTCAGAGGTCAAAATTTATGGTACTTAGGGGAAAACCTCGTCATAAAAATACACATGCGAAATATAAAAGCTCTAACACCAACTGTTCAAAAGTTATGTCGAAGGTTTAAATTTTTCAAAAGAAGTTAAATTCCAAGGTCAATGTCAAAAGATCAAATTGTTTGTATCCAAAGGAAGGTTTTGTCGCAAACATACACATATGAAATATGAAAGGCCTAGTACTAATGTTCAAAAGTTATGATCAAGGTTAATTTTTGTTAAATTTTAATAGTGGGTCAAACTCTAAGGTTAAGGTCAAAAGGTCAGAAATACTTATACCCATGGAAAGGTGTTGTCACAATGAACACACATGTTAAAACCCTAGAACCAATTGTTCATGGGTTATGGCAAAGGTTAAAGTTTGATAATTTTTTGCGAAAGTTGGTCAAACTCAAAGGCCAAGGTCAAGAATATATTACCTTGGTCATAACTTTCGAACAGTTGGAGCTAAGGCTTTCATTTGTTCACATGTGTATTCCTTGTGTCAAAACCATTTCTTGGGTACTTTTAATCTTGACTCTTTGACCTTGACCCTGGAATTTGACCTACTTTTGAAAAACTTTAACCTTGGCTATAACTTTGGAACGGTTAATACTAGGGCTTTCATATTCCACATGTGTATTTCTTGTGACAAGACTTTCCCTTGGGTACCAACAGTTTTTGATCTTTTGTCCTTGACCTCAACTTTTGACTTGCTTTTGAAAAACTTAAACCTTCACCATAACTTTTAACAGTAGGTGGTAGGGCTTTCATGTTTCACAGGTATATTCCTTGTGACAAGACATTTCTTTGGGTACCAACTTTTTCTCTTGACCTTGACCTTGGAGTTTGACTTGCATTTGAGAAACTTTCACCTTTGCCATAAGCTGCCATACTGGAGCATCATTGTTTCACAAACACATCTTTTTTTTTTGTTTCGGTCGATGTGCTAAATAACTAGCAATCTACTATCTTATTTTAGAAAACATGGCGAGTCATATTAAGAAATCGGAAAGCAAGATGAGTGACATCGAAGGTGAGTTACTTTTGTAGGTTATTGGTGAAAACCTATTAAGAACGATGGTGAAATATACTTAAAATGACAGAATATTTCCATTTCATTTCAGAAAACATAGCAGGATTATATAAAGAAACATCAGGCAGGATGAGTCACCTAGAAGGTTACTAAGTAGTTGAACATATCTTTAAGATGTCATATACTGGAATAAAGTTACTCTCTTGTGTGTGCATTATTACAAATCCTAAAATAAATATGAAAAAATATCTTAGAAAAAGGCTCATTTCATTTTAGAAAGGATAACAAGTTTTTGTAAGGAAACATCAAACAGGATTAGTCGACTAGAAGGTTAGTTAAACATGTCTTTAAGATGCCATAAACTGAAATAAAATTCCTTTTTTGTGTGTTTATTGGTGAAAACCCTTAAAAATGTGATAGAGTACATCTTAGATGACAAAAGTTTTCCATTTCATTTTAGAGAAAATTGAAGGTCAAAAAGAAACAGCAATCAAATTAAGTCACTTCAAAGGTTAGATTTACACGTTTTTATGATAAATCATTTTTGTATGCTAATTATTGTAACTCTTCCAAGAAGTATAGGAAGAAATATTGAAGAGGACATAAAAATACTCAGTAAATGCAAAAAATATGTCGTCACAGTAAGTCATATAACGTGATCTTTAAAGATAATGATCTGTACACGTACGATCAGAAGCCAATATTTATCCATCTCCCCCAATCAAAAAAAAAAAAAGGAAAGAAAGCATTCAAGCTTAAGAACTAAACAAAAATAAAATGGTGGACAACACATTGCTAAGGTATACCCTAATATATTTTCTGAAAGATTACCTGCCATCTGCTGTAACGAAAACCCAATTCAAGGATTTATTTAATCGTTGTGATCTTGAAGTCGTTGGTATTTCCTCAATATTACAGAAACAATGAGATGCAAACTCAAAAATAAAAAAAAAATCGGGTCAGAAACTCTAAATAAAAATTAAGTTTATTGTGAATTAATTTTAACAGTCACTCCGAGAGTATTATATTAGCAATACTAGACCCTACTAGCAAGTGTAATCTGGTTCCCATTAAAGATTGAAAATGCAATAATTCAATCAAAAACATTGAAGCGGAACGAAATGCAAACTTGGTCTATAACTCATCAAGGTAAAGTGACAGACCAAAGATCAACTCAATATCTGCAAGCGTTTAGAAAAAAATGCGGAAAACCAAGTGGGAAAAACTGCAGCCATACAGAGGGACAGCCAGACAGCTAGACATTAAAATAATCCAAAGTTATTGTGATCATGAATGTTATTGGATATTATACCAGGAGACCAACAGGATATTAAATATTCATAACTTTCATATATTGCATATCGGATATTGCAATTTTTAATATGGTAAACTTGACTGCAACTGGGCATGGTACTTGTTAGCAAGTAATGTTTTCTCCAAATTATTCGACATAGTTACACATTCTCATCTTTATATTGGTACTCTACGAAAAGAAATATTTTTAAAAAATCTTTTCAAAGGTGCATGCGCACTTTATTTTATCGTAAAATTTGACGAAACTCCAAACTCTAGACTGTTTTACAGCACTACATATGAGAGAAGAATATTTTCTTGAGCAACCCAAAGAAGACCAAGGTAAACAAAAAGAAAGGTTAAATCTAGACAAATCACTACTAGATTTATATAGTTAGCGTAATTAATGAGACTCTTCAAGAAAGAGCAAGTACAGTTTAAGATATTTTGGTGTTCTAAACTTAAAGATCATTATGATGTACGGTGGAAGAAGGGAGGATGTCTTGGAAGAAGTGCACATGGCGTAGTTTACCTTTGTTCTAATGAGACCTTCGGGTTCAGGGCAGTAAAAATTGTCAAAATAACCGAAATGGATAACAAAGCTACAGAGGTATGTTGTAACTATATAATGTGCATTTTGTTAACCTTGATTTCGTTTTATTGGGATAGTCGTATTTGTTCCCATTATGAGAATATTCAGAATAAGTCAAAGGCCTTGATAAAATTTTCTTCTGAATAGTAATTGGGGATATATCAATGCATTATTACAACGCACTTTTCAAAAAAAATTCAAAGTGCGTTAAATATGGGACAAGGTAAACGCACTTTGAAACAAGATGTGTTTGTGAAACACTGATGCCCCCGTATGGCAGCTTATGGCGAAGGTTAAAGTTTCTCAAATGCAAGTCAAAACCCAGGCCAAAAGATGAAAAATGTTGGTACCCAAAGAAAGATCTTGTCTCGAGGAATATACCTGTGAAATTTGAAAGCCCTAGTGCAACTGTTCAAAAGTTATGGCGAAGGTTAGAGTTGTTTTAAAAGTAAGTAAAACGTCATGGTCAAGGTCAAAGTTGTTAGTATCCAAAGGAAGATCTTGTCACAAGGAGCCCTAGCTCCAACCATTCAAAAGTTATGGCCAAGGGTAAAGTTTTTCGAAAGTAGGTCAAACTTCTATGTCAAGGTCAAAGGGTCAATGTGGTTGGTATCCAAAGAAAGGACTTGTCACAAGGATTAAATATGTGAAGTATGAAAGCCCTAGCACCAATCATTCAAAAGTTATGGCCAAGGTTAAAGTTTTTCAAAAGTAGGTCAAACTCCTAGGTCAAGGACAAAAGGTCAAAATGGTTGGCATCCAAATAAAGGTCTTGTCACAAGAATAACATATTTGTAGTATGAAAGCCCTAGCTCCAACCATTCAAAAGTTTTGGCCAAGGTTGAAGTTTTGCAAAAGTAGATCAAACTCCAAGGTCAAGGTCAAAAGGTCAAAGTTGTTGGTATCCAAAGGAAGGCCTTGTCACAAAGTCTCATAAAATTTTGCAAAAGTGGGTCAAACTCCAAGGTCAAGGTCAAAAGGTCAAATTTGATGGTACCCAAAGAAAGGTCTTGTCACAAGAATAACATATTTGTAGTATGAAAGCCCTAGCTCCAACCATTCAAAAGTTTTGGCCAAGGGCGAAGTTTTGCAAAAGTAGATCAAACTCCAAGGTCAAGGTCAAAAGGTCAAAGTTGTTGGTATCCAAAGGAAGGCCTTGTCACAAAGTCTCATAAAATTTTGCAAAAGTGGGTCAAACTCCAAGGTCAAGGTCAAAAGGTCAAATTTGATGGTACCCAAAGAAAGGTCTTGTCAAAAGGAATACACATGTGAAATAAGAAAGTCATAGCTCCAACCAATCTAAAGTTATGGGCAAGATTAAAGGTGACAACAAACAGACAGACAAACAGACAGACAGGACAAAAACAATATAACCCCGGGATCTTTCGATCCGGGGGCATAAAAAATATTTCTTTTCAAAGTGCGTTAATATCGACCATATTAACTCACTTTGAAAATATTCTCGCAAATTTTAGGTATGATAAATAATTATTTGAACCTGGTTGGATAACTTTTTGGAGATGACTTCAGGTCAGGATCTAAGATATAGACGTTATAAAGATTTTTACGGGGTGTCTTGTTCCCAAAGGTTTTTGTAAATTTTATAAAAGGGATTATATGGCGTATTATTTGGAGGAATGATTGTTTAATAGAATTATTTCATTGCTTTACTTACCCAGTTTGTAATAAGTTCGGTAAATGTGGGGGTCGATAAATGACTTAAATCATTCAATGTATGAAGGACTTCCTTATACTTTTTACTATATTTAAAATTTTCTTCATTTTTTTTCAAATATGACCCTTAGGCGTACGAGAAATGAGACAAAATTGATCAAAGTTTGTATGCTCATTGAAAATAATTTTCCCGAAAAATAATTCTTTATTTTGAAAACAATTAAAAAGAATAGTATTCTGTACTGTGAATCAAATTAAAGTATGAAGTTCAATTAGCACAAATCTTCTCTTCTCAATGGGTTTTAAAGAATGGTTAGTTTATTCTAAACAAAAAGTATATTTTGCTTTATACATAATTTTTCAGAATGCTAAAAGCGCAGAAAAGGAAATCAATGCGCTGAAAAGCCTAGATCACATTAGAATTGTTAGATATTTTGGTTTCCAAAAACACCAGGATGAAATACGTATATTCATGGAGTATATGTATGGTGTGAGTATTCCCGACATTTGCATTTCGAAGGAATAACATGTACCTATTTTACAGGATAGGTTAATCCCGATCCTGTAATAGTCAAGGTTCTCGATTGTATAATTATGACCTTAATCAAGCTTTACAAAGTAATTGCTGTTACCATCGGTTGGTTTCTCAAGACTCGAAGTGATAATATAGAATCTTTTATCTTCTTCCGGTTCAAAACTGAATGTGCTGTAGTACAACTTTTTTTTTAAAATCTTAATATAAAATTTAAAATTTGAAAGTTGCTTTTTTAAATTTTAAAAAAGGTTGCTGTTATGTTTAACTGTGAAATGTCCTGTTTTTGTCATTAATGTGCTATACAACATCTATACTAATTACTTCAAACATTTTTAAACATAGGGGTCATTAAAGACGTTGATTGATGAATCAAGGGGCTTACTGGAATCTCGAACGCAGAACTTTACTAAACAAATACTAGATGGTCTACATTTCCTTCATAAGAGAGGATATATTCATAGAGACCTTAAAGGTAAGACATTAATAATTTATACTTGCTTTCACGTCAATTTTTAAAAATAAGATTGAATAACTCAAAAATTTGGAAATTTCAATATAAGCCAAATTGTGATACAAGAGTTTGTTCACTTGCACGTACAAAAAAAGTTTCATAATGTAACTAATTAGAAAGGCAGATTAATTGTGCTTTCAAATTCATTTATTATTGAAAGAAAGAAGGCATTGACCTACCATAAAAAATATATAATAAAACAAAAATAGAGAAATGATATTAAAGATATGGAAATAATTGAAATAATTTACTTACAGTAAACGTTTTGATTTCGTTCATGTTTTAAACTGAACGAAAGAAAAAAAAGAAAACAAAATGAATAAATACAAATAAAATTTGATTTCATATCACAATATAAATCTTCTTCTTTATTAAATCGAGTGAGGACATACATTGTTCTCGCATGGTTTGTCGACTGGGCATAGGAAGGTGAACGTTCATGGATGGATATGGTTACTAATTTTTTTTTCTTTGAAATTTGGAATAACTTTTCTTTTTTTAATTTTTACAAAAAAATCCCTATATAGGCTCACATTTATTTAATGTAAATCCTTAATATACTTCATTGTAATTAAAATCCATGTGTGATGAAGAAAAACGTGCATTCTAAATTCCCAATAGAAGGAATTTGTACTTTATGTTTTTTTTTTGTTTTTTTTCGGAATTAGCCCCTTCCGTAGTAAATTGAAAAAGAAATGGAGAAGTTCTGCGACTACATTTAGAAACTTCAATGGGATTCCGAGTCCAGCCATACAATTTCCTATTATATAATTTTGTGTCGTTAACCATCCCTGGAATTGCAGTTGAAAAAGTCTTCCAGGAAAAAATTGGTTGTGTCTTCGAGTTCGAAATTATTTAAGGAAGGAGAAATATAAGTGTATGGGTCGTGGATATCTGCCTGGGTATATCAGGGGTTAGGGCGCCTGACTAGTAAAACAGGGGTCCCATGTTCGACTCCCGATCCTGCCACACATTATCTCTCTTTTTGTATTACAAAAGAAACTATTTTTTTTAATATTCAGTTAACTGGACTGTCATTATAAAATTGTGTTTTGGATGTACATAAAATATTGATGAACAGCAAACGATCTTAGCCATTTTAGGGGGGAAATCAGGATATGATATATATATATATATATATATATATATATATATATATATATATATATATATATATATATATATATATATATATATATATATATATATATATATATATATATATATATATATATATATATGTATTTCGTAAACACCAGACATTTTTTATGAGAAAACGGTTTCGTTTATCGTCCATTTACGCAAATTTATCCAATCATTGCGATATTGTCAATAAAATCTTTTACGAGATCTTTTAGGAAAGTAATTATTTCTGCAGGCTGATTATGCGCTTTAATAATACACTGTACAAATCTCATTGTGTGTTTATAAATAATGATAAATAGTGTGCATTTTTGGTTTTGCTCATTGATATCTGTCAAGCTCATTAGCCATTAATGATTAACTTGAGTATAATGACGTATGTGGTGTCTTACCTGTGTTTTTGAGTCCTAGGAACAGGAAAAATAATTCTACAAGGGAAACTTTGATACCAAGGATTTTGGACATCATTTTCCTGCATCAATAAATTGGACTTTATTTCCTTTTCTGTTGTTATTCAGTTCATAAATGTTTCCTCTAGACTATCAGAAGTCCTCTCTAATTTTTCATACATGTAGTTAAGAGAAAAAGAGTTAGACGTGTGTTTTATGACTTTCATAAATTTCTTGAAAAAAATGTTGACTGATAATTTTTTATGGTTGTTTCGTTAGCTTAATAACTTACGTCAGAAAAACCAAATTTGATATACTACATATCAAACCTCGATGGGAAAAAATCTTAATACTTATAATATTTCGAGGGGTGATAAAAAAGTTCGCGAACTAATTGTATTTCGTCCGTAAAAGAAATCGAAATGAGTGTCAGTGTTTATGTTTTAAGTAGCTCTCTCTGGTTTTAATACACATATGCCAGCCTCCTGCTAATGCACGAAATATGTGGTATAGGCGGTCACGTGACATGCGCCGTAGCGTACTGTTCACGGCAGCCAAAATATTTTCCCGGGTTTATATATCTTTCTTTGTACGCTATTGTTTTAACAAGAATAGTCCATTTGTCACAAATTGCCAAATCTCGACATTGGGATAGATGGATTAGGATATTTTTTCCCAGTATGAACATGGCGATAATAACAAACCAACTCCTTTGTTTTACATAAGTCGTGTATCCAATGTGGATCATTTATGGGCAATTTTTTCTGTATCATATGTGATCTGTCGACAGTCTTAAGTAACTGATATTTTAGGGGATTAAGAATTTATTCATTGTTCCAATATACAACTATTTTTCTAACTTTGACTTGGCGATCTCTCATTACGAATTGCTCTTTTAAGGGCACGTCTCATTCCCAACATACTTTCACTGAGCACCCAGAACTTTACTACATAGGTATTGACTGTTCCTTTGCCAAGCGCCTGGCACTAGAAGTAAAAATCACAGGTCTTTCGGAGGAGACCTTAAAAATCGAGGTCCCGTGTCATGGTAGGCGTTGCCAGGATAAAGAACCCTCACTGCTCAATGGCCCGGTTTACATCGAGTTTAGGTCTAAATTTGAAGCCTTTCATCAGCATACGGGAACGTCTCTATATGAGTGAAAACCTCTCCAATGGGACGTTAAACAACATACATATAATCTACTATTTCAACACCACTGCAGTCCCCATAACCATTGTCTTTTGCCCTCTTTGGGAACGTACTTATAGTGCCATTTTGCGGTTTTTGGGTATCAAGATAATTCGGATGATTAGAGAAATGAAATCAGTACCGAGCACAACTTTTTGTGCGCAATAAATATCTTTTTTCCCCATTGGTGGTTATTGTAGCTCCTTAGTCTTCCATCCAAATTTTTTTTTCAGACCAGCAAGCTACTGATCTGCAGCTATACCATGTAGAGACGGAACTAAAATTCAAATTGAATTATTACAGGTTATTTATGGAGGGTATACGTGTTCAAAAATCCAGACTTGTAAATCCAAAGTTGCAAGTTTGTAAATCCAACCTTGTAATCGTATCAGTTTCATAGTATACATATGTAAGTAGGTAATTCCGACATCCTAGCATGTAGTTCCGAACATACAACTGTGTTGACTTTGAGTTTATACTATGAATGTGTGTATTTTTGATGTTGTAAACTTTGTTTTCCGGAATTTATATTTCCGCGCTCTGAATAAAACACAAAGACAATTGACAAGTCTACAAATGTTTCTAACTTTTTGTTTTCCAAATTAAATTCTTCATTTTTTATTTTTTATTTTAATTCTTACTTCTTGAAGGCGTGGATCTAGAATGGGATCCGGACCCCCACCCCACCCCACCCCTCCACCTGAAATTTACAGACTTATTAAAATGTTTACACTAAACGAACTTAAAGTTACCTTGGACCCCCCTCGAAAACACTGATCTGTGTTAAGTTGACGACTACCCCCACCCCCCAACAAACACACGCGCGCGAAATAGGTTTTTCATGCTTGGGAAAGGAGTTTACTTTTTTTTGCTTGTCAAGAAATTTCTGGGTTGGGTTTTTTTGGACTGGGATGGACCCCCCCCCCCTTGGATACGTGCCTGTTCTTGTTTATATTTTCCTGTTTTATTTTATTTTATTTATTTTATTTTGGCAATTTTGATTCCTTTCGTATTTTGATTCTATCTTAAAATTTCAATTATGTTTCACTTCACCCAACTTAATACTTAATTTTTTGGGGTAATAACCATAAGCAAAATCGAAAGTTTGTTTAAGAAAGTAGAACGTACAGAGTTAAACTAAGAAATCCGAATAAAATTTAAACGAAAAGGGGCGCTACGGCCTTTTATGTACAGGTACACAGAGATCTTGGCGAACAGTCTAGCTACGAAAAAGTTGAAACATTTCCATGGAACATATTTTTTTTTTTCATTTTAAAAACCATATGATATCATTCTTGCGTATTTTCTCTCGTTTTCAGGCCCGTAGGAAGCAATTTCATTGGGTGGGGGGAGGGGGGTGGGGGTGGAGCAGTGGGCACAAAACAAAAATTTCTTGATAAGACCCCCCCCCCCCCAAAAAAAATGAAACATTCCTGTTGATGGGGCACAACGATGAATTAGCCTCATTTCTTTTCTTAGGTATTTACCGACAAAATTATTGAGGGGACACAATCAGAAATTGCTTTTTTTATTGGTATACATATAGTATATACTGGCATCCTCACCCCACTTGCTACATACGGACCTAGGTCGGGGCCATAAAACTTAGATGAGCTCACTTTTGACCCCTGTCTCTCTTTTCTACATATTATTAACTCCTTTGGTGAATGTGAGACTGTGATAAAAAATGAGCCCGTCTAAGTTTTATGGCCTTGGTGCAAGATGTTTCAAATATGATAAATATGACCGCCATTTTTGATTGTCCTCCTACGGTACACAAATATCAGGTATCTTTAAATTGATATTGTCATCACATTTTTTTTTTAAAGTAGGACAGAGAATTTTTTTCACTAACAAATCTCAGGTCCGAAGTAGGAGGGATCGAAAGGTTGGGCTCCCAACTTTTTTGTGTAGAGAATAATCCTTTGCAGCTGATTTAATATGAAAATTCATTTATAGGCTGTATGCCCAACCACCCCCACCGCCATCCTCCTTATTTTGCGGTATCATTAAACTCTGGAAAATTCTTGCGTTGAAAAAAAAAGTTACTGAAAAGTTTAAGATATCCTTAACATTGCTTCCCACGAAGGAGGAGTTTGGGCAATTTATTTATTTTCTTTATCGTCATTGTTTTTGTTTGGAGCCCCCCCCCCCCCCCCCCGATAAACATTGATACGGATTTTCATCTACTGAGTGGTTGTTGTTTTTTTTTAAATATGATATCATTGCAGTTACATTGGTTCTTAATAAACTGGGGCACTGATCACAATAGCCTAGTGGTTGGGCGCTAGCTTTGTAGGCCATTGGAGGGTAAGAGTTCGCTTGTCCTAAGTTCCTAGTACCGGCCGGCAAACTGTGAGACGTTTAACATAAGTGTTGGTAATGACTATTCCTTCGGCATTGAAAGTCAAATTGAATAATTTTTCGGTTGAGACCTTAAAAACCGAAGCCCCTCTAGATCCGCGCAAGCCGTGAATAAGCGGGTAATGATTCGTGTCACATCGTCAACTAAAATAAAATTAAGAGGATAAAAAAAATTGGAACATATAAACAGAAAGTTAGAATTAACATTAAATAACAAATTCAAATTAAAATATTAATATAAGATTGGAAGTTAGAATAAAAAAAAAGAAATAAAATCTAAATCATTTATTTCAGTTGGAAAAAGAAGAAGTTAGAATAAAAAAAAGGGGGGGGGGAAATGTGGCACTTTGCCCCTCCATAATTTCTCATATTCAAAATTCGACAATCATGTAGACTGTACATTTGTAGACTTGTCAATTGTCTTTGTGTTTTATTCAGAGCGCGGAAATATAAATTCCGGAAAACAAAGTTTACAACATCAAAAATACACACATTCATAGTATAAACTCAAAGTCAACACAGTTGTATGTTCGGAACTACATGCTAGGATGTCGGAATTACCTACCTACATATGTAGACTATGAAACTGATACAAGTTTGGATTTACAAACTTACAAGTTTGGATTTACAATCTTACAAGTCTGCATTTTTGAACACGATTACCCTCCATAGTTATTAGAATATATATTTATCTGATTAATGTTTGTCTTATTCAGGATGTTCTCATCAAGCGATTCGAACAAAATTATTGTATGTTTATAACATTGCGTCAGCCAGGTGCGAAGACTAGAAAACCTAGTCAAAGACACCCATATACACCGCTTAACATCATAGGTCATGAACTTACAAACCAGGAATGAGTGAATAAATGATTGAGCGTAGAATTGCACATGGTAAAAAGTAGTAAACAATACCTTAGATGATGAAATACAATCATTATTTTAATGATCATTCTTTATCTTTATTCAAATACCGTACTAACGTATTTGTCATTCAGTGAATCATTGAAAAAAAGGTTAAATAAGAAACACTTCAAATGAACGAAGACATTCAAATAAACTATCATTCATTTTCCTTCTCTCTCTCTCTCTCTCTCTCTCTCTCTCTCTCTCTGCTAAATCATGATTGATTTAAAATTAAATTTTGAATTTAAAATTGAATTTAAATTTCTTTTCATGCATTTTTTAAAGCTGCAAACATTTTACTTGACATTGACAAGAAGAGCATAAAACTGGCTGATTTTGGTGTTTCGAGGTTTATGAACACATTTTCAAGCGGCAAAGTGAAAACTCTTACTGGCACAATTTACTGGATGTCACCTGAAATGATTAAAAAGGATGGATATGGGACAAAAACCGACATCTGGTGAGTACGAGGGTGATAAAAGAGATCGTGGACTGGCGCAAAAAAATTTTTTCTAAATATATATATTCTTTCGTTCTCTGTTTCATTTGGCAATTTTAACGTTTCATTTGGCGATTTTCCAATTTGCATACGAAACTGTATAATTTAGTGAAAGAACACTTTGCTCCACGGCTTCATTTTTTTTTCACCCACAAATTTCAAACATTACAGAAGAAATTATCGAAAAATCATTAAAAACGCTTAAAATACCGTCAATTTTTTAAAACATTATACAAACCTTCTGTGCAGCTTTTGATATTTTTCTTGAAAATTTAATCGAAAATGATATTTTTGTGCAAATTTGTTCAGCTTGTTTAAATCAAGTTACTTGACTTAATTTGGGTTCTGCTGAGTGTACACAACACGGGTATTTGAATAGTTAGTATTTTTTACTTTTAAATTTCGAACGGAGTAAATGGTTAAAAATTGTATGTTAAATTGTCTTATTATAAAATGTGCAAAATTTAAAATTTCTATCTCACATAACATCGATTTTATCGCGCTAGTCCACAAACTTTTTGACCACTCCTTCTTGTATAAGCTCATTTTACTTCAAGGCGAAAGGGGAATCTTTATTAATAAAAAAAAGTTAATTTTTATAGATTTCGGGATTTTAGGCATTTTATATATTATTTTTTTGTAGGAGTTTGGCTTGTGTAATTTTAGAAATGCTTACCACAAGAGCACCTTGGTCTGAATTAGAGAGTCAAGCTGCTATGTTTAAGATAGGCATGGGTGCAGATTTCGATTACGGACTCCCTGAAAAAGTTTCAGAGACCTGCAGAATATTTTTAGATCAGTGTTTCCAAAAAGATCCAGAAGAAAGACCCTCTGCAGAGATTCTGCTGAATCATGCATGGATTAAACACATATCTTACAGCGATACTTGAAAACATATCCTTAAATACAACAAAATTTGCAAAATTCCTTTGCTATGCCCTTCAATTCGACATTAAGATATATCGATGACGTTTTATCATTTTACAATATTCATTTTCGTTCCGACGTTGATTCGATTTACATGTACTAGTATCCCATTGGACTCGAAAAAAAAGACACCCCAGAGTCTGACACATCTATCTCACATTTAGATATTTTACGAGAAAAAGACATAAATGGCAAACTAACAACAAAACTTTATTATAAATGTGATCTCATCAACTTTTCTGTCGTCAACTTCCCTTATTTATGTTGCAATATACCATTGATTGTACTTATGATGTAAGACAGATAAGATATACCATTATCACCTGCATATCGATATGCAAGAGCATGCTCTAATTACGAACAATATCTATGTCGAGGCAAACTATTGAAAATAAGTTGATGATATAAGAAAATAAACAGTCTCGTTAAAAGTCAACATTTTGCAAACATTATGGTCGATACAATGACCTTGTTAGCAAGTACAATCTCTCATTAAATTGCATGTTGATTGACGTTTTACATACAAATTGTTATGACATTATTTTCACACTGTACTATCTACGGATTTTTCCGTTTGCCCGATCATTCGATCATTAGAGGGGCAATACGGGTGTGACTGAACGACAGGGGATGCTTACTCCTCCATGGCACCTTATCCTATCTCTGATGTTTTTAGAGGTCGGCGTTTGCTCTGCTCCAAATTTGTATTATAGCAAGGACTTTTGCCCTTGATCACTGTTTCATTACGATATAAAACTAAAAAAAAACACATAAAGAGAAAACTTGCTTTTGTGTTACTGTCAAAGCGAATAAATTCCCATTTTTCAAATATGATGTGTTGATGTTTACAGTAAACAAGGTTTATCTCTCTTACATCACAAGTACAATCATTTGTCGCACTTTTCAAAAACACTTTTCTCAATATTTTAGCATAAATATATATTTTTTAATTTATATCTAATTTTAGTGTACAAAATATATTTCTTTAACACTTAAATGTAAAATTTGCTCTTAATTTACACAAATTAAACAGAAATTATGGATTTAACTTGGAGGGCGAAACAGCCCTTTAACAACGGACCTAGATAGAGATATCTCAGCCTTGAGGGCGGGAGAGCCCTTGTTCCAAAACGCTTTCTTACCTAGTACAATATGGTTGTGTCAGGGCTGATACACAACTACGTAAATGATATTTTACAGATTATTGTATATATTGTTATAACTTGTTTTGTATAATATTGTTATGTTTGATAGCAACTGGAATCCTTGTTGATTTTTCTATGTTTATAATGCATTTTCTTTAGTTCATATCATTGAATAACCTTTCTCCCATGTGCTTTTATTTTGTCATTGTATTTTCAATCTGTTCATTTCAAAAAGAATGGACAGTTAAAACAAACAGAATGGAGAGTTACAGGTAAACTTTGGAATGTGTTCAAGACGGAAACAAAAACAAATATATTAAATACTTTTTAATTTACATGTAAATAACAAAAAGAACGCGGAGACCAAAGTTAATCCAGAACACAATGTCTACACAGCATCCATTCGATTTTACTCTTTCAAATCCATGAATGATGCACACTATTTCAATACCCAAAACTTAATTTTCACAAAACTTGAATTTAAATGACACAATTTCACATTTGATTTAAATTTCGGAAAAATCATTCCCTCGAGGAGAATTTATTTTCAGATAGAAGTGCGTCTAATATTAAATCCTCCACCCAGAAAACAGTTTGCACTATGAACACTGCACTGCTGCAGTCAATATTAATTACGGTAGAAAATAAATAAAAATGAAACATTTCCCGATTTGATTTGAAAAACATTTCAGGTCGAAGATTGGCTCATGGCTAATCCAACACTCAGAACACAATTTGCATCTCACCATTACACTGCTGCAGTTAATATATCCTCAGAAATAGAATTCAAATAAAACATTTCCAGGTTTGATTTGAATTTGATCATCTGTTTCTGTTGTCGAAGTTCATTTTTGGGTCAAAATTTGGCTAATATTTCTTTTAATCTTCCTTTTCTGTTTCCAGATCCAAATATCACTAATTTTGTGCATATTTTGGTTTATAAGATATTGATTCTGTCATATACTCTCTCCATCACAGGAAAGCATGTATACCTTTACAACGCAAACTGTAAACTGATTTTGAAGCATCGCATACTTGTAGAAATACTAGTATCCCGCATAATCCACCTGTAACTGTCCATTCTTAAGACAAAAACCTTTTGTTTTTGCATCTGGAAACACAATGGCTTATTCAACAAATTGCTCTGCATCCCTCGCTTACCTGTGACTGTCCATTCCGTAAACAATGAACTTGCCATTGTATGTGTGCTACCTGTCATTTTGTACATTTTATATTTAATTTTCAAAACAAAGGAAATCATGTTTTAAGTAGGAGAAAGGCCTCAAACTGTCCATTCTGTGAGAGAAAGAACTAATCTCGGGCCTATGGCCCTCGATTAGTTCTTTCTCTCACAGAATGGACAGTTTTCGGCCTTTCTCCTTTACTTAGAAACGGGAGACAATTTGCATAATGGGCAAATCCCGTTTTGCATAAATTATCCCATGTTTCCAACTGTTGCTAATATCCCTGGCGTACCAAATAAACTTGATAACGATTCCTGATATTTACATTAATAAAAAATGGAAAAATTGTAATTATAATACAAAACGTCTGTCCAAGTAGTAGAATAGACCGTAACAGAATTGAAATACGTAAAGCATTCCACATTAATTTCCATTATGATAGTCTCCGTCCACTGCCTACAGACACTATGACAGCTCGGTAAATTGACATGTTGGCGAAATTTACATCGAGAAATTAACACACCTACAATCCAAAGAATTATTCAAGAGAAAACAGTTAAAAATGTAAATGATTTGAACTTAATTTAAAATACCGCTCTTTGTTATATGATATACAAGGTTGAGTTCGATTTACATTAAAAAGAACCACAGCGAGAAAACATAATTGGAAAATACAAGAATAACACATTCGTCTGTGAAATTCCAACAACATTAGGATTTAGATTACACCTCTGCACTAAAATGGTAGGCAGGTCTGTTAATATTGATTAAAAACTATTAAAAATCATATTCAAGAATGGATTTTAGAAACAAGATAGACAATATCAGTTGTGTTTATAATAAGTAGATATTAAGTCCCCAATATACATGTTTAACAGTTGAAAAATAAGTATCATTGGCATACATGTAATAACTGTAAGGCTACACGTAAGAGGATGAAATGGGCATTGGTGCATTTTTTCATATTGTTTTTTTAAGGAAGCAAAATAAACACTGCTCTCTAAAGAGATCTTATTCCATGGAAGTTTTATGCAGTTAGAGTGAGCAGTCCAGTGTTGTAGGAAGAACTAAAAGTAAACATTCAGTAAATAGAACAATCTGAAATAGACTAAAGTATATTTGTAACATGTATTAGACCAAGATAAAGTAGTTGATATCATTATTTGCATTTATTTTCCAGTATAAGTAAAAACAAGTGTTTCTCTTCAATATATCTTCATTCTCTTTGAACATTTTTTCCTGAAGAAATATGGCAGATACTTTATGTTGATTTTGAATCAGATAAACTCAATATCTACACAAAGGTGTGAAAAACTTCATTTATGTACTATGTGCATGTAACTTAACATTGCAAATATCAATGCTTGTGTTTTAATAAATACATGTTGTAATTAATAAGCAACTTTGTAATATAATTTATTTTTTAAGATATTCTCAATTTCTAAGTAAATTACATGTTTTATCTTATTTTATTTTAATTTTTTGGATTGAAAAACTACTGCAACCTAAAGTAAACACATGTAGTCTTTCTCCTTGTAAATGTTCATTTACCAGTTTTGTTGATAACTTAAATATGCATTCGGTAGATTGACTTTAAAAAAATTCTACGTATCATATAAATGCAACCAAGAAAATATATTTTAGCTTCCTACATAAACTACATAAACTTTGTAATTTTATTGCCTTTAACCCCCCCCCCCCACCTTTCTATTTTCACGTAAAACAAAAATGGAAAGAAAATTCTTTCATAAAGTAAGGGTTTTTAATTTTGAGAAACATATTCAATACAACAATCATTTGTTTGTTATTATGTAAACCTACTGCGATTTATAAAGTATCTTTTGTATAATTTTTAGCCTTATTTTTGTGTTTTAATATGCCCCATTTTCACTACAATAATGGCTACCCCCAATTTTCTTTTCATTTTTAAATGAGGAATGGATATTGCATAATATGTATGTAAAGCAAAAAAAATCATCATTTAGTTTGTTTTTTTTAGTTTGTCAATTCCATTGTTTATAAGGTAGTTTTAGCATATAATTGTGAGTAAAACCACAAATATGGGCAATATTTTGAAATTTCCCCCGTTCTACTACAATCAAGGCATGGTAACAAAATTTCAGTCTAATTTTGTAAGCTCGGAACATACAAATATGTATTCAAAATTCAAAAATATTTGCCAATCCGTTTTCGTAAATTCCAACGAGATTGGGTCTCCTTAAATATCATTGACACTGTCTAAACTTTCAGAATATCAATCAAACCCCGTCTTGAATGTCTTGAGTTTCGATTGTTTTAATACAGGAACCATTACTGAACTGCCTTAAATATACATGCAAATTAATATTAAAGCTTACCATATCATCTCGGGTTTTAATCCGAGATTCCTTTGGACTCTAAGCCACCGCTTTTATATCGTGCATATGTTGCCAGTATTGTCACAATATAAAAGAGAGGTATTGAGTTCAGAGAAATCTAAAATTACTCAGTTTGATGTCAATGATGTATTCATACTATTGAAAATGGTAGTTTTAATTTCTCAATCGTCAACTTCCCTTACCTTTGCAGCAATATACCCTTATCACCTGTATACGGGGTTTATATCTCTCAGTTGATTCGATAAGCAAAAGTATG